TTTGTAATATTCTCTGATGATGGTTTGAATTTCTGTGGAATCTGTGGTGATTTCCCCTTTATCATTTTTTATTGCATCTATTTGGTTGTTCTCTCTTTTATTTTTAATCAATCTGGCTAGCGGTCTGTCTATTTTGTTGATCTTTTCAAAAAACCAGCTCTTGGATTTATTGATTTTTTGAAGGGTTTTTCGTGTCTCAATCTCCTTCAGCTCAGCTCTGATCTTAGTAATTTCTTGTCTTCTGCTGGGTTTTGAGTTTTTTTGATTTTGCTCCTCTAGCTCTTTCAATTTTGACGATAGGGTGTCAATTTTGGATCTCTCCATTCTCCTCATATGGGCACTTATTGCTATATACTTTCCTCTAGAGACTGCTTTAAATGTATCCCAGAGGTTCTGGCACGTTGTGTCTTCGTTCTCATTGGTTTCGAAGAACTTCTTTATTTCTGCCTTCATTTCGTTGTTTACCCAGTCAACATTCAAGAGCCAGTTGTTCAGTTTCCATGAAGCTGTGCGGTTCTGGGTCGGTTTCTGAATTCTGAGTTCTAACTTGATTGCACTATGGTCTGAGAGGCTGTTTGTTATGATTTCAGTTGTTTTGCATTTGTTGAGCAGTGCTTTACTTCCAATTATGTGGTCAATTTTAGAGTAGGTGTGATGTGGTGCTGAGAAGAATGTGTATTCTGTGGATTTGGGGTGGAGAGTTCTGTAAATGTCCACCAGGTTTGCTTGCTCCAGGTCTGAGTTCAAGCCCTGGGTATCCTTGTTGATTTTCTGTCTGGTTGATCTGTCTAGTATTGACAGTGGAGTGTTAAAGTCTCCCACTATTATTGTGTGGGAGTCTAAGTCCTTCTGTAAGTCATTAAGAACTTGCCTTATGTATCTGGGTGCTCCTGTGTTGGGTCCATATATGTTTAGGATCATTAGCTCTTCTTGTTGTATCGATCCTTTTACCATTATGTAATGGCCTTCTTTGTCTCTTTTGATCTTTGTTGCTTTAAAGTCTATTTTATCAGAGATGAGAATTGCAACTCCTGCTTTTTTTTGCTTTCCATTAGCTTGGTAAATCTTCCTCCATCCCTTTATTTTGAGCCTTTGTGTATCCTTGCATGTGAGATGGGTTTCCTGGATACAGCACACTGATGGGTTTTGGATTTTTATCCAATTTGCCAGTCTGTGTCTTTTGATTGGTGCATTTAGTCCATTTACATTTAGGGTTAATATTGTTATGTGTGAATTTGATACTGCCATTTTGATGCTAAGTGGCTGTTTTGCCTGTTAGTTGTTGTAGATTCTTCATTATGTTGAAGCTCTTTAGCATTCAGTGTGATTTTGGAATGGCTGGTACTGATTGATCCTTTCTATGTGTAGTGCCTCTTTTAGGAGCTCTTGTAAAGCAGGCCTGGTGGTGACAAAATCTCTGAGTACTTGCTTGTTCGCAAAGGATTTTATTCTTCCTTCACTTCTGAAGCTCAGTTTGGCTGGATATGAAATTCTGGGTTGAAAGTTCTTTTCTTTAAGAATGTTGAATATTGGCCCCCACTCTCTTCTGGCTTGTAGTGTTTCTGCCGAGAGATCTGCTGTGAGTCTGATGGGCTTCCCTTTGTGGGTGACCCGACCTTTCTCTCTGGCTGCCCTTAGTATTCTCTCCTTTATTTCAACCCTGTTGAATCTGATGATTATGTGCCTTGGGGTTGCTCTTCTTGCGGAATATCTTTGTGGTGTTCTCTGTATTTCCTGCAATTGAGTGTTGGCTTGTCTTGCTAGGTGGGGGAAATTTTCCTGGATGATGTCCTGAAGAGTATTTTCCAGCTGGGATTCATTCTCTTCGTCCCCTTCTGGTACACCTATCAAACGTAGGTTAGGTCTTTTCACATAGTCCCACATTTCTTGGAGACTTTGTTCATTCCTTTTTGCGCTTTTTTCTCTGATCTTGGTTTCTCGTTTCATTTCATTGAGTTGGTCTTCGACTTCAGATATTCTTTCTTCTGCTTGGTCAATTCGGCTATTGAAACTTGCGTTTGCTTCGCGACGTTCTCGTATTGTGTTTTTCAGCTCCTTCAATTCATTCATATTCCTCTCTAAGGTATCCATTCTTGTTATCATTTCCTCGAATCTTTTTTCAAATCTTTTTTCAAGGTTCTTAGTTTCTTTGCATTGATTTAATACATGATCTTTTAGCTCACAAAAGTTTCTCATTATCCATCTTCTGAAGTCTAATTCCGTCATTTCGTCACAGTCATTCTCCGTCCAGCTTTGTTCCCTTGCTGGTGAGGAGTTTTGGTCCTTTCTAGGAGGCGACGTGTTCTGGTTTCGGGTGTTTTCCTCCTTTTTGCGCTGGTTTCTTCCCATCTTTGTGGATTTGTCCGCTGGTCGTCTGCGTAGTTGCTGACTTTTCGTTTGGGTCTCTGAGTGGACACCCAGAATGTTGATGATGAAGTATTTCTGTTGCTTGGTTTTCCTTCTACCAGTCTAGCCCCTTCGCTGTACGACTGTTGAGGTCCGCTCCAGACCCTGCTTGTCTGGGGTGCACCTCTAGTAGCCGTGGCACAGCGAGGGATGCTACCAGTTTCTTTTTCTGCTCTCTTTGTCCCAGGATGATGCCTGCCTGATGACAGTCTTTTGGATATAGAGGGGTCAGGGAGCTGCTTGAGGAGACAGTTTGTACTTTATAGGGGTTTAATTGCTGAGCTGTGCACTCTGTTGTTCATTCAGGGCTGTTAGGCTGCTATGTTTGATTCTGCTGCAACGCAGCTCATTAAACAACCCTTTTTTTTTTCTCAAATGCTCTGTGTTGAGGGGTTTGGGCTTTATTTTTGGATGTCCGATCAGGTGTCCTGCCCAGCTCGAAGGCAGACTAGCCACTGTTTGGCTGCCGAGGCTCCGCCCTGCTGTTGTGTGATTCGCGCTGTTCTTGCCGGCTCTGCTGTGGTCTCCGCCACGCCCTGCAGCGGAGTCTCTTCATTGTAGCGTGTTGCCTCAGCAACGGCAGGCTGCGTCAGCAGTGGGCGTGTATCTCAGTAGGGACGGGTTGCCTCGGCAACGGCTGGCTGCGTCAGCAGTGGGCGTGTATCTCAGTTGGGGCGGGTTGCCTCGGCAACGGCTGGCTGCCTCAGCAGTGGGCGTGTATATCAGTTGGGGCAGGTTGCCTCCGTAGTGGTGGACGCCCCTCCCCCACAGAGCGTCTCGGACCGTCTGCCCGGGATAGTTTGAAATCGCGGTTTTGTTCGTCCCACTGGGTATCCCAAACGATCTGTCCCTGCAATCCCCTGGGCTGGGCTACTGTGCAAGTCTCGTTCAGTCTCAAGTCCAGCCCTCTCAAGTCTCAGGCTGCCGGTTCAACAAGGCACCCGGACAAGCGCGCCCTGTGGGGATGGCTGGGTAGGGCCGGCCGCCGCTGCCCCGGCTGCCGGCTTCGCCAGGCAGACCTACTGCCTGGCGTCCCGTGTCTTTTTATACTTGGGAGTTTCCCCGTTCTGTGGGCAACAAAGATCAGTCTGGAAATGCAGCACTGACTCACCATTTGCGGATTCAACGCGGGCTCCAATCCTCCACATTCTCACTCTTAAGTGGAAGTTGAACAATGAGAACACATGGACATAGGGAGGGGAACATCACATACCTTATTAGCCTGTCGAGGAGTGGAGGGCTAGGGGAGGGATAGCACTAGGAGAAATACATAATGTATTTGACCGGTTGATGGGAGCAGCAAACCACCATGGCACATGTGTACCTATGTAACAAATCTGCACCTTCTGCATGTTTACCCCAGAATTTTAAAGTATTATAATAATAATTAAAAAAGAAATGACCAAATGTTGAACCAAAAGAGGCATACTTCAGAATTCTTCCCCACAGGGAGATTGTCCCAAGACATCAGTAATCCACAACCCCACCCTGTCTTCAATGATGCTGGCCCGGCTAACAGATCACCCATGATTACAGATAAGTCCTCCAGCAAGCTATGTAGATCCTGCACCTCTACGCCCCTTCTGCATACCCTGCATACCAAAATTTCTTCTTACAACCCTGCTTTCTGCCCAGAACACTGAAGTGGCTTCTTGAGATATGAATTTGTCCCTTCCCCATTGCTAAAATCTGGAATGAAGTCTCTTTCTTTAAACAAACAAACAAAAGTATTTTAAACTTAGTGATAGTAAACCTTTCATGCTTACTTCTTGTCTTTATTACACTTGCTTAAGCAAAACAACCTTGGTTAAATCATTCCTATGGCTGCATGGTATTCCATGGTGTCCATGTGCCACATTTTATTTATCCAGTCTATCAATAATTAATCCTGCTATTAATATAATAATTAGGTGGCCGGGCATGGTGGCTCATGTCTGTAATTCCAGCACTTTGGGAGGCCAAGGTGGGCAGATCACAAAGTTAGTAGTTCAAGACCAGCCTGACCAAAACGGTGAAACCCCGTCTCTACTAAAAATACAAAAATTAGCTGGGCATAATGGTGTGTGCCTGTAATCCCAGGTACTCGGGAGGCTGAGGCATGAGAATTGCTTGATCCCAGGAGGCGGAGGTTGCAGTGAGCCGAGATCACACCATTGCACTCAAGCCTGGGTGAAAGAGAGACTCTGTTTCAAAAAAAAAAAAAAAGACTCAGGTTAGCCAGGTGCGGTGACTCAGGCTTGTAATCCCAGCACTTTGGGAACCCGAGGTGGGTGGATCACCGGAGGTGGGCGGATGATCCAAGGTCAGGAGTTCGAGACCAGCCCGATCAACATCGTCAAGCCCCGTCTCTACTAAAATGCAATAAATAAATAGCCGGGCATGGTGGCGCGAGCCTGTAATCCCAGCTACTTGGCAGGAGAATCACTGGAACCCCGGAGGCAAAGACTGCAGTGAGCCGGGATCGCACCATTGCACTCCAGCCTGGGCAACAGAGCGAAACTCAATCATAAAACAAAACAATATCAAGCTGCCTGCTCAAAGGACCAGAAGCCAGGAAGGTTATAAAGGCTAAACTTTAAAAATAATTTTTATTCTTTTCATGTGTGAGCAGCCATATAGTACATGGCTACAGGCAAACACCTTCTGGGGTGGGCCTGGCTCAGCTCAGGGAAGAAGCCGTTTGAAAAGGCTGTACCTTTGGCTGTCACTCTTTCTTCAATCAGCCAGCATTTGGTCATGTCTTCTGTCATTCAGGGTCTGAGGCGACGGGGACTTAAACCTTGTCCAATCAGCGAGGATGCTCTGGGAACCGTCCAATCAGGCACGGAGCCGGAGCCGGAAAGGCTGGCTTCTGGTATGTGGCGGCTGTTTTGTCTTTTGCTGCAGCCCGAGTTCCGGGTTTTGTCTTCGCTGTCCTCTGCTCCTAGGGGTCCAGCCTGTGTGAGACCTGCTGGTACTGGAGATCCACAGTTAAGACGCCAGGACCCCCTGGAAGCCTAGAAATGGTGTGAGTGCTGGGTCCGATATCCCAAGAGGGGAAGGGGCTAGTTGGAACTTGGGGGAAGTGGCTGTGGGGCCTCAGACTTCCCCGCAGTCAGCTCAGCAATCTGTGCCTCGAGTTCTCCGTGCCCAGCTCCGCCTCAGTCCCCTTCAGCAATAAGATGGCGGCTGCGCAGTGACTGTGCCCTGACCTGGAGCCCTCTCTGGGCAGCTCTGCACCCGCAACTCCGGGTCTCTTCCACATTTTCTCTTTTAGGGACCACCGGAGGGTTGCCAGGGGAGAATCCTGACTCAGCTTCCGGGTCATGAAAGGGAAGAGCTTTGGTTTGCTTTATGGGGTTCTCAGTTTCTCATTTCTCCTATTAAAAATTTGTGGGGCCGGGCGCGGTGGCTCACGCCTGTAATCCCAGCACTTCGAGAGGCCGAGGTGGGTGGATCACGAGGTCAAGAGATCGAGACCATCCTGGTCAACAAGGTGAAACCCCCCTCTCTACTAAAAATACAAAAAATTAGCTGGGCATGGTGGTGCGTGCCTGTAATCCCAGCTACTCAGGAGGCTGAAGCAGGAGAATTGCCTGAACCCAGGAGGCGGAGGTTGCGGTGAGCCGAGATTGCGCCATTGCACTCCAGCCTGGGTAACAAGAGCGAAACTCCGTCTCAAAAAAAAAAAAAAAAAAAATGTAAGCACCTTATAATTTTGTCCCTTTAGATCAACACTGTGTTTGAATAATGTTGCTGAATTTTTCACACATGTTGTTTTGAAAACCAAGTTAAATAATTCTGATATGAAAATAAAAGCTTGAGCCTAGTGTCTCCAAGCTCAGGCAGATATTGAACCTCCAAAAGAAGATTATTAACAACCCAATTAATTGTTTTCTGAAGTGTCTGCCTTGCAGATGTCCCAGCCTGCTCATCCCAGCCATGGAAGAATCCTTCATAGTGCGGGGGTGAAAAAAATCAGATTCTAGATTAATGTTTTACCCTGAAGTCAGCATGTCCTTAGGAAGGACATAACATGGGGTTGTGTATTTTGACTCAGATTGAGTGTACCTGAATGTTCAGGAGCCTGTGGGCAGGAGACAGACTTAAGTGAAGTTTGATTAAAAATGTTTAATTTTGACCACTGAAGAAAAATTCAGCTGATTTTTAAAAATGAGAACAAGAAGAAAATGTGCAAAGTCTCTGTCTGGCTATGTGATAGGTAAGAAATAGAGCACCAACTAAGTCATAAGGGAAAGCATGTTTCTTTCCATAAACTGTTTCTGGAGAACACAAAGGATTAACAATTTTATTAATCACAGCTGTTTATCTGTATTATCTGTGTGCTTTATCTTTCTCCATTTTTTATTTTGTGCTATAGTTTTCATTTCTTTTCTTTTCTCCCACCCCTCCCCTCTTTTCTTTTACCCTGGCTGGAGTGCAGTGGTGCAATCTCGGCTCATTGCATTGTCCACCTCCTGGGTTCAAGCAATTCTCCTGCCTTAGCCTCCTGAGTAGCTGGGAATACAAGTGCACTCCAACATGCCCAGCTAATCTTTGAATTTTTAGTAGAGACAGGGTTTCACTATGTTGGTCAGGATTGTCATGAACTCCTGACCTTGTGATTTACCCACCTCGGCCTCCCAAAGTGCTGGAATTCCAGGAGTCAGCCACCCCGCCAGGCCACATTTCCTACATTTGACTTTTTCTGGGTTGTGGCTTTTTTTTTTTTTTTTTTTAATTTCCTTTGAAGCTACTGTAAAGGGTTGTGTTTTTAATAATGAGCTGATAAATGTTGCTACAGTGTTTTGCTGAGCTGTGTGAGTATCTCTAACATATTATGAAACTTGAGGGAGGTTACGGGAGTTCACAGTTTTTAAACAGCAGCTCAGAAGCATGGATAGGCCTGTGGGGTTTGTGACTGGGATCTGACATTAGGACAATGTTGTGAGACTGAGCCCAGAATCAGGGTCTGTGCTGACTCTGGATGGTGTCAGAATTCAAATTCAAATGTTAGTCGGTGAGTTGGTGTTGGAGAATGGCTTTGTGTTCAGCAAACTCTACAGATTTGGTACAAGAAAAAAGGTATCACAGAGGCCTGGCCTGGAATAAAACTCTGGTCGTCTGGGAATGGAAGGCTCTGCTCTCCTGTACACAGGCTGTCACACTGCCCATTGTCCTGTGATTTCAGGTCTCCTCCTGGGGTGAGGGAGGGTAAAAACTTAGAGGAAAGAACTCTGATAGCAGACCCCCTTTTCCCTCAACTGTCACCACAGGATTCCCACTCACAGGCATACCCACTAGATATTAATGTGTCTACACCTTTCCCAGGACTAGGCACCACCCTGAGAAATTTCACGACAGCATTTTTGATTCTAATGTTTCTTGGCAAAAACCTACAGAAGTGTCTACAAGACTTGCCATATCCCCACCCCGAGACACTGAATCTGCCACAGCAACCTGTTTTCCTCAACAACTGAGGGATCTGGACCACCTGTTCTTAATCTTATCTGCCTGCATAAACACAAACATACATCAGAGTATACGTCCACCTGAGCCGCTATCTGTAGCACAAACCAGTCCTTCCGCCTACATTGCACTGTTTCCCACTTACAGATTTTTATTTAACTTTTATTTTTGGCTCAGGGGTACACATGTAGGTGTTTTATACAGCTAAAACAGTCACGGGGATTTGATGTGCAGATTACTTTGTCACTGAGGTACTAAGCATAGCATGAAACAGGTTCTTTTTCTGTTGCTCTTTGTCCTCCCATTCTCCACCCTCAGCTAGGTCTCAGTGTCTGTTGCTCGGGTCTGTGTTCCTGTGTTCTTATAATTCAGCTCATACTTAGAAATAACATGCATCTGGTTTTCTGCTGCTGCATTAGTTTTCTAAGAATGGTTTCCAGCTTCATGTATGTTGCTTCAAAGGACATGGGTGTGTGTGTGTGTGTGTGTGTGTGTGTGTGTGTGTGTGTGTGTTTTAATGACTATGCAGTATTCTATATTTATGTATCATATTTTATTTCTATTAAACCTTTTATTTTATTTTTAAAGACAGAGTCTCACTTTTTGCTCAGACTGGAGTGCATTGGCATGATCTCAGCTCATTTCAACCTCAACCTCCCAGGCTCAAGCAGTCCTCTTCTACTTTAGTCCCCCAAGTAGCTGGGACTACAGGCACACACCAGCAGGCCTGGCTAAAATTTTTTTTGTAGAAATGGGGTCTTGCTATGTTGCCCTGGCTAATCTCAAACTTTTGAACTCAGGCAATTTACAGCCTCAGCCTCCCAAAGTGCTGAGATTACACATGTGAGCCACCATGTCTAACCATATTATATTTTCTTTATCCAGTATGCAATTGATAAGCATTTAGGTTGATTCCATGAATAGTGCTGCAATGAAGATGCATATGTCTTTATAATGGAATAACTTATATTTTACTGTGTATATGCCCAGTTGTGAAGTTGCTGGGTCAAAAGGTAATTCTGTTTTTAGTTCTGTGAGGAACTGTCACATTGCTTTTCACAATGGTTGAACTAATTTACACTCCCACCTGCAGTGTATAAGCATTCCCACTTCTCTGTAACCTTGCAAGCATCTGTTGTATATTCACTTTCTAATATTAACCATTCTCACTGGTGTGCGATGATATTTCATTGTGGTTTTTCTTTGAATTTTTCTAATAATTAGGGATGAGCATTTTTTATATGCTTGTTGGCCGCATGTATTTTTTCTTTTAAAAATATCTTTTTCATGTTTTTTGTCTACTTTTAATTGAGGTTTTTTTATTTTCTGTAAACTTAGGTTTCTTATAAATCATGAGTGTTGGACCTTTGTCAAAAGCACAGTTTGCAAATATTTTCTTTTATTCTGTGTGTTGTTTGTTGACTGTGCTAATGGTTTCCTTTGCTGTGAAGAAGCTTTGTAGCTTAATTACGTTCCATTTGTCAATTAATTGTTTTTATTGCAATTGCTTTTGGCATCTTTATTTAAAAATTACCTGTTTCTACATTTACAATGGTATTTCCTAAGTTATCTCACATTTTTTGTTTTGTTTTTTTATAAATAGAAGTTTTACATTTAAATCTTTAATATATCTTGAGTTGATTTTTGTATATGGTTTAATGAAAGCGTTCAGTTTCAATCGTATACATAGTGCTAACTAGTTCTTCCAGCACCATTTATTGAATAGGGAATTCTCCCCAGATTCCTTCTGTTAGCTTTGTCAAAGACCAGATGGTTCTGTTAAGAAAAGTTTTTGGTAGTTTGATAAAAATAGCATTAATTTGTAATCTGTAATTTTTTGGGCTGTATACCATTTTAATAATATTGGTCTTTTCTGTCCATGAGCCTGAAATGATTTTTCATTTGTTTGTTTTATCTCTGACTTCTTTAAGCAGAGTTTTGTCAGTCTTGTCATAAATATCTATCACCTCCCTCATTAGCTGTGTTGCTAGATATTTTATTCTCTTTGTAGTGATTGTGAATGGAATTTCATTTTTGATTAGGCTTTTGGCATGCATGTTTTTGATTTATAGGGATGCTACTAATTTTTTGTGCATCTATTTTGTATGCTGAAATTTTTCTGAAGTTTTTTGTCAGTTTAGAATGCATTTATGCCAAGATTATAGGGTTTTTCAGATGCAGCATTATGTCTTCTGCAAACAAAAATAAGTTTCTTTCTCTCTTCCTGTTTTCATTGTCATTTATCTTTTTATCTTGCCTAATTGCTCTGACCAGGACTTCCAATTTTATGTTGAATAGGATTATTGAAAGAAGGCATCCTTGTCTTGTGCCAGTTTTCAAAGAAAAATGATTCCAGGTTGTGTGTATTCAGTATGTTGGCTGTGGGTTTGTGATAGATAATTCATTATATTGAAGTATGTAGCTTCCTTGCCTAGTTTGTTGAGACATTTTAACATAAAAATGTTAAATTTTATTGGAATTCTTTTCTGCATCTATTGACATAATTTTGTGTTTTCTGTCTTTAGTTCTGTTTATGTGATGAATCACATTTATTCTT